CGGTGCGGAATTGATTTAATCCTTATTAAGGCGGATCCAGAAAAGCCCTCTGGACGCATGAAAATTATAAAGTGTTATTTCTATTTAAGAAGTTTTTAACTAATTACAACGTTTCGATGTACGCTTTGGAAACTATAACCAAGAATGCAATAAAACGGTGCAGATTTTATGTAATCTGTTGTACTCTGACACACTTTTTGTTTCTTTTATTATCTCCACCATTGGACAAATCAGTAATGACGCATACACGCTTTGCTCTTATACAACTCGCAATTAAACGAACGAATTTTAGTTGATAGATTTGTTATACAATGTTAAAAGTAAAATAACAAAAAATACCGAACTCCGAGGAAAATTCTAAACGGAAAGTCCTGAGCAAATGACAAAATCAAAAGCTCAAACACATCAAACGAATGGACAACAACTGTCATATTCCTGACTTGGTACAGGCATTTTCTTATGTAGAAAATGGTGGATTAAACCTGGTTTCATAGCTAGCTTAACCTCTCACTAGTATGACAGTCGCATAAAATTCCGTTATATTGACAACGATGTGTGAACAAAACAAACAGACATAATAGGTAAAAATGTCAAAATTAGGTGTACAGCAGTCAACATTGTATTATAATCTTAATCACTACAAAACCAAGCAAATATGTCAACAAAGACAAACAAAAAGGTATTAAGACAAAGCACATTAGCAAAAACGAAAGACAAGAATACAAAAATTTTACCATAGCACAACAACACAATGACGGGATGTACAATTACCTAGCCACGTCAAATGGATACTGCCAAAAATTTCAAAATTAAAATCGTCTCGTTGCAACCCCAGTTTTTGATGGGGTTCGTGTTGCTTAGTCTTTAGTTTTCTATGTTGTGTCATCTGTACTAATATTTGTCTATTTGTCTTTTTTTTTTTTTGGCCATGGCGTTGTCAGTTTGTTTTCGATCTATGAGTTTGACTGTCCCTTTGGTATCTTTCGTTCCTCTTTTGTTATAGATTATGGTACTGAGATGACCGCTTATGTCAAATTCGAGGTATAAGTCTAAAAATGAGGCAGAGGAAGCCGTTTCTGTTGTTTCTTCAATTTATAGTTCTGGAGGATATATTAATGGAACCCAATCAGAAAAGTTTGGAATGTTAATGGAAAGAACATCATCAATATATCTGAATGTGATATTAAATGATCTGGCTTCTTTGATCTTCTTATTTTTGACAAGTGTCTGAAGGAACTTCGACTCATATGAAAATAAGAAAAGGTCGGCAAGTAGAGGCGCAAAGTTCGTTCCCCTAATAATGCCGACAATTTGTTGAAAAAGTCTCCCTCCAAATTCAACAAATATGTTGTCAATAAGAAACTCCAGCATACTGATCACTTGCTCCTCTGTGTAGCATATTTAAACCTTTTGTTCACTATTAACAAAATATGCCGTATGGTATCCCAAAGTAATAAATTTATAGCAAATGCTACCATTTTTATATTGAAAAGCATTGTGGATTATTTCTTTTAGACGATTTTTCAATTTCACATGGTGAATGGTGGTATACAGGGTTGAAAAATCAAACGTTTTGATAGAATTAATTTCAGGGAAAGATCGAGATTTAAAATTATCCAGAAGTTCTTTAGAGTTTTTTAGATTCCACATATGGTTAATACCACTATGCGAGTAAACAGTTTCGCAGTATTCTGAAGACCTTCTTTCACTACGGACAGAATTTGTGTCAATCTAATGGACAATTCTTTTGAAGAACATGATGAACAGGCAATGTACCGTTGTTTGTGAAGCTTAGGTAAGTCCTCAGATTTGCTGTTCAAAGTAATGTTCATTGAAGCCATGAAGGACTAATGATTCGCCAAAATCTCATCCTTGTTAAATGATATGTTTTAGTATGTGGGATTACCAGAGTGCTCATTTATTCCTAATTCTTTTACAAGACACTCGTAGTAGCACGATTTACACACAAAGACAATATTATTTGAAACTTTGTTTGCAGGAACAACAACATATTTATCGTGAAGAGATGATAGACATTTCACAGCTTCTTTGTCTAAGAACTTATGACCAAGATGTATCAATATAGCTGCGAGGCTTATAAAACATTGAATTGATTAGTTTGCATATTGATGACATTAGTCAAGGCATTAACGTTTCGACGTCAGAAATGTGAAAAATATGTAATAGTCATTCAAATTATTACATTTTGGTTATTTAACACATTTTTCAATGTTATACTTTTGTTTTCAATCTAAACCCTCAAATGTACTAGAAAATATTAAATTCAGATATTGAATGACAAATATATTAGAGTACTGAAATTGTAATGCAGACTTTTAAGTGCTTAAAGCCCTGAATTTATAGTTTCAAATCTTAAAACTAAAATGCTAATCTGTGACTTCCAGAGATCACATAAAAGAGCATTTGGCAAACGATCACACATACTGCAAATCAACATATTCTCGCGAACGATTTATTTACGAAAATGTTGTAAGTACAGCTGATATTGTCAAATTCGGATCTTATCTTTTGTGAAGCTTATCACAGATACCAATAATTCCGAAAAGTTATAACTGTACCAAATACGACCAAGGCTTTGAACACATTCAACAAAGTTAGAAGATTGATGAAATAAATTGCATCCAGGTTTGTACAGAACGACAAAGATAGCAAATACTATTATCTGTTTTAAAAATACCCAGTGCTACAATTAGTCTGAAAACGAACATTAAAACGAACTTTTTGTAAATTTTTGTGCTTTGAATCTCAAAATTGTTATGTCACAGCACTCCCTTGTTACACATTAAATACAACAATTACCATTACGAATTATCAGACAGAATTGGTATACAAAACCGAGTTAACTTGTTTACAAAATCGATAATTAATTTGCACCTTTTTCAACTAGTAAATTATATAACTCTGACTTGATTAATTAACAGTGGTCTTGTAGCTATTACAGATATACAGTCTCGTAATCGGCATCTTTAAACCAACAGTAACTACAGGATTTATTACAGTTATTTCTGACCAAGTTCAAAATAAATATGACAGAACAGTACACTGCTGTATTGTAAGTTAAGTACGGATATAAACCTCCCAAAACTGTAAATAAGAAGTTGACAAAAAACACCGTTAAAAAAGCTAGAGGCTGTTGTGTATAGTATCAGATACACCCATGCGGACGATAGCCCGATTAGTTGTATCTTATTTGCAAGATATTCTGTGTGATGGAAAAGGGTAAATTTCAATACTTAAAGAGGGGACCTTAATGTTTGTCTACAGGACAAAACACTGAGTCAACTTCAGAGTTCTACTTTAATTGAAAGACATTGATTATACCAATATGATCTGTCATTGAATGATTTGTTAATCTTATGATATTTGCATGGTATTAATGCAGTGTGGGCAATTATGCATGTACCGATAGTAAATTAACAGTCAGTAAAATATTTCTTGTAAGTTTACTTATTTGGGTAAATATCCCTAATGTGCCTCAGAGTGAGGAACTCAACTATAAATAGAAAAAAAAACTGTATGCAATGAAATTGGACATGATGCTATCTTAAGCTTATCCATTTGTTCTTTTTTTGAAGAGCAGAAGATTGTATAATAAAGATGTGAAAACTTTGGAGTTATTAAATGTTTTTACAGAACTGAATTTCTAGAGAATTTAAATGTGTGAAAATAAAGACTTTTCACTGGCTGAAGCGGCATCACGCGGTGCCTTTCGGGGTTGCCTAATTTGTGAAAAAATCAATCTCATTTGGTACCCCGAAAATTTAACCACATGTGTGAAAATGTCTCAGCTTCGAAACGAGCCATCATACATATTCAAGTTTACGATATGGACAGAGGAATGGCACAAAAGGCTACCATTGTTGCCTATGGAAATTAAATTACGCTTTTTGACCCATTTAATCAAGCTTGCAGTTTCTATTCAATATAAGTACATAATTCATAAATGTTACTTTGCATCAAGCAGCTCCTAATTGTGTATACACATATATAATTCTGAATCAGATTAAAACGCGGTTGATTACTGTAAACCAACATATTATCGCGGAAACGTTTATACATGTTACCCTACATTTGTTAACTTCTGCGGCATTTGATCATTAGTGGAAAGTTGTCTCATTGGCAATCATACCACATCCTACTATTTTATATTTAGAATTGCATTTGTGTTTTTAGCATTACAATGTTTAATCACCCCCTTGTCGGTAGCTTTAAAGAGATATATATTGTAAGTACAAATAATGTATTAGCAAAAATTAAAAAAAACCTGGTCATGATGGAATCAATAGTAAATATCTTTTAAACTAATAGATAATTCGACGGTGACATATCCTCAGACGTTTTCCAAATAAAACATAATTTACAGTGAACGGGAAATAAATTACTTGTCATTTGCAACGAGTAACTAAATTAAATGCAAGACGTTTTGATAAAGAACACGATTTACATAGGAATCAGTTACGAACGCAGACAAAACATTTCATAGATGGTTAACCCAATGAGCTTTTGATTGAATTTAAGATGTTTGCGCATCCCTTTTCTACTTGTTTGCATTTTATTTTGCAATGCAACAACATAACTTTTTGATTCAAAAGTATACAAATCGTGACATTACATCAAGACAATTTTCATAACAATTATTCAGTCAGCAATGTTATTGAGACTGAACTGGTTACAACATTTACTCACACTTTGTATTTAAATTTTATCTAATTGACTCAAAGCCTGAAATTAAAATTTTATCAAACAATAAGAATACGCAACATATTTATAAAAATGCGGTTTTCATTTTCTAGTACTGGTACTGGATGGGTACCGTTATTAGAGGACTACCAGTCCCCAGGGTATCATCAACCCAGTAGTCAGCAAATGACATGATTTATAACAGACATTTAAAAAATGAACCCGTTGATAAATCAAGCTACTGGAAGAAATAAAAGGTTAAAACTAAAAAAAAAGTCCTCAGGCTAGATATACCTTACATGGTTTTTGCTACTCTGTTTGGATCCCTTCTAGTCATACAACCTGGCTTCCAAATGTCTAATTTTAGGCGTTCTTGATGACAGTAAATCCAGGAAAATAGCTTTAAATGCGAGAGTTCTATTTCATTTCCCTGGCATTGATAGAAATATCATTGTGTAAGTTAAAATAACCAAAAACACTTATCAAGTTTCAACGATGCTTTCGATATTACCACTAGCTAGCTGTAAAAGTGTATATTACAAAAAGAAAAGAGTTCATATAGAAGAGCAAAAGGAAAATCAGATATATGTCGTTTAACAGCTATAAATGCTATGATTTGATTTTTGATTTTTGGTGTTTTAACGCCACTTTTAAGCACCGCTTTTGGGCTATTTCGTGGCGGCCAGCTTTTATTGGTGGAGGAAGCCGGAGTGCCCGGAGAAAACCACCGACCTTCGATAGGAAAACTGACAATCCTAGTCAATTAAGATTGGAGTCGAGTGCACCTGCACGAGCGGGGTTCGAACTCACAACCTCAGTGTTGACTGGCTATTGATTACAGTAGTAATTACTTAGACCACTCGGCCACCGAGGCCCCTATAAATGCTATGAAATTTCACCATGTATCTTTAGTCTAAACACCGGCCATTAAACAGATTCTTAATTGAATTCATATGTTTGAAAACATAATAATGAGAAGCCAGAACGCTACCTTCTCATCCATTTTAAGATAAAAAATAATGATAACGGCATAACGAAACAGAAGTGATACCCCAAAGCCAGGAAAACAATTATTTTATAATAATATGTTCTACACAGATAAATGGGAGAAGACTTCATAAGTTTGATTAACTTGTGTCTCATCCCTTTTGCATATATAAGCAAATAAAATATGTTTAAACTAAACAGACAAATAGCCAAACTATGTAGTTTTCACCACTGTTTTTTAAATCATACTTTACTAACTGTGGTCGGAAAGTAAATCATAGATCCTATAATCTCGTATTCTGTAACACAAGCGGATTGGACAATTGCAATACTGTTTTGGTTAAATGAAACAGTGAATAGACGTCGCCCAAAACATTTTTTTCTTAATAAATAGGATAATACCATACACACTAGATGAAGAGACATTACTGAAGATACATTTCTTGTCGAAATATGTATCTGTTGCAGTAAAATTTGTACCATTAATGTTATATTAGCATGCCACACACATGAATTGTTCGATTCAGGAATAAATGGTTAAAAACACATTGCGCTTTATGATGCACTAATTTTCATAAAATTTAATGTTTTCCGGCTTTTTTGTATTCGAACCCATTGACAAATCTTCTGTAGACAACATGTGCGTCTGGCGTACCAAATGATAATCTCTATATTCATTTCTGGATTACTTCGTTTAAACTAAAACGGTTTGTAAAAATTTACTTCTACAATCGAAATGACATCGAACTTTGACGACAAAAGCTTACTAAAATAAAATCATTGGAGCGGTTGTATCATATATTGTTGAAAAAATAATTGAATTCGTATATTGGACTAGTTGATTAAGTCAAATGGAAAACATTTATACCGTCCAAGAGTAAAACTCCAACAGGATTTACAGTGTATTGTGTCCATGGTATCCATTTGTATAATAATCTTTTTTTTATCACGATGACCCTAACTATTCCACGGGTATCCAATTGGTGGGAAAAATGCATGTGGTAAAAAGATATCATTTTTATAATCTTTGAGCGTCGACTGAATATTTCATGAATTGTCATTGTAAGCTAGACCATCGAAGAAATGTTGCTTTTATTCGAATTTTGAAAATAAAAACGGATATGATCAGCAATTGAGTCTACAAGACAGATACGTCCTAATGGACAATACTAATTGTAGTAATAATAAAAATACTATTAATAATGATATACATCATGATAAAAGTATGAATACTAATGAATATAGTAACTATAATAAAAATTATAATTGTAAACAACCAGTTCAAGAAACATAAAATCCTCTTACGTTAAAAATCAATCAAATAGATGCAGTCTCATAAATTTATAAATTTATAATTTAAACAAACTGATCTGTTTCGAAACAATCAACTCGTCATTCAAAACGAGATACCGCAGAATATCTTTTTAATCTTGTATTCTCAAAACTTCTACTTATGAATCTCTAAAGCGACCTCTTTTCTACTTGCGATATTGAGATGATATTGATTTCTGTAACTGACCTGAAAGAAAATTAAATCTACCAAACAACCATACGTAATACAACGATTATTTCCCGGAGGAAAATTTGTCATTTGTTTCCCAATGTAATGTTACTTTTAACAACTGAAATTTAACCTTTATTGTAGATATTATCAAATAAATCATTGCTGTTACGTCAGCCTATTTCTTTTTATTTACTGTGGTTTTCTATTTCTATTTCTTGAATTAACACTCTTTCGTTCAGTTTAACACTAAAATAGCACAACACGTAAACATTTTTCTCTACAAGTGGTTCTCGTGTTGCAAAGTAACAATCTAGTGACAATTTTTGTTATGTCTAAATCGTGAAAATCTTACGGGATTGTTGCTACGACAAGTGCATGGAACATGGCAGTAGCAAGAGTAGTTATTGAAATATCTTCTGATAATTTTGCCCTACATAACAAAGTTATTATGTTTTAGTTAAGCATTGATTTGAAAGCGTTTTATATCGATTTTCATATTTAAAAAAGGAATAACTGCTTTCTGATATTATATTTTTGTCAATTTTATTCTATCAATTGAAAAAAAAACTATGATTAACTTTCTCAAGTGCATGTGATAATCGAAATTATGCACATTTTGAGGACACTTTATCTATTTTAAGTACAGATTCAATAAATATCATTTTAACCACATTATTTACGTCTAAATCTAGTCTAAAAGAACATAACTGACATCTAGAAATTGACAATGAGGGCCGGTTGAAAACAAAACTTTACGACAAAAGGGATGATTTCAGTTCCTCAATTGTGAACTTTCCATTTCTATGTAGCAACATTCCAGCAGCGCCTGCATACGGAGAACATATCTTCCAGTTGATACGATAGTCCAGGGCTTGTATTTCCTATCATGATTTCCTTGATAGAGGGTTGCTTCTCTGACGGAAGCTATTAAACCAAGAGTTCCAAGAGGTGAAGTTGAATTCATCCCTTCGTAAATTTTACGGACGCCATCACGAGTTGGTTAGTTATGGAATAGCCGTTTCACAGATGATAGCGGATATGTTCCAATTGTCGTAACTACAATCCCGATTCTTTTTCCTCGAATGTGACCTACCGAATTAAACATATTACCGGGTTTGTACTAACATGAGCAACACGACGGGTGCCACATGAGGAGCAGGATCTGCTTACCTTTCAGGAGCACCTGAGATCACCCCTAGTTTTTGGTGGGGTTCGTGTTGCTCAGTCTTTACTTTTCTATGTTGTGTTTTGTGTACTGTTGTTTGTCTGTTTGTCTTTTTCCTTTTTAGCCATGGCAATGTCAGTTTATTTTGACTTATTAGTTTGAATGTCCCTTTGGTATATTTTGCCTCTCTTTGACGACGCGACTTAACATGCATGAACACGAGACTTACCTTCATTATGTTTAGTACAGTATATCATGAGGAAGTAGCATACTCACATTTGAATAAAATGTATATATGCTCAAGCGTATACAAACGGTTAATGTAACATGTCTAACAATATATGATAAAGACATAATTTTCTGAACGTCATTATCCTGTATAATTCTTGCAGACATAAACTGTCATTTTTGCGATAATGGAAACGTCAGATTATTTCTCTGCCCAGATAACAGTTTTTGATTATGTCTGTCTTAATTGTTTTTGTTGATTTCTTATATTTATCAGGACTATGTTTATTCTCTTTTGAATTTTCCCATTTTTTCATCCCGTGGCCAATCAGGTATAGCTTACCTTATGATATTTTTGCGTCAGAAGTTTAAATTCCTTGCTTTAACTGCTTACTATTTGAGTGTTTCCTGTCAATAACGTATTTTCTCATTTCAAGTGCATGTATAATTTATCTTGATTTATCAATCCATGATAAATCCTACATTTTAAAGCTTAAATGCGTTTATGTCTTCTACAATTTAACTAAATTACAATCCCAAACCAGCTATTTTGCAGAACTAACAGTTTAAATTGCATTTTAGCTTAATTTGATATTCAACTTAAATGATAGTTAATGTTTAGAAAGTGTCGTCTAATTTAACTAAACTGAAGCAACATTTGTTTTAAAATAGTAATAAAATCTCTTTGTAGCTTGTTTTCAGCTTTATCTATTCCATCGAACATGAAATCAGATACAATAGATATCTGCCTCATATCTTGACTTACATCTACAAATTGACAATGAGGGTCGGTTTAGAATAAAAATTTACGACTGAAGAGATAATTTCAGTTTCCAAATGGTGAAACTTCCATTTCTATGTACATTGTAGCAACATTCCAGCAGCTCTTGCATTTAAAGTCTATATCTCCCAATTGACAATTGGTTGATACGATATTCCAGAGCTTGCATTTCATATAATGATTATCTGATTGATGGTTGCTGATTAGAAGAAAGCTGTTGTACCAAGGGTTACAACAAGTGCTGAAGTTAAGGTCATCCTTTTGAAAATTCAAAAAATGATGAATTGTCGTAACTAAAATTCCGTCCTTTATTCTCGAATGTGACATCACCGAAATAGACTTTTCTCTGCGTTTTGTACTCACAGGAGCAACGCATTGTTGACAAAGATATGCTTACTCTCCCGGAGCACCTATATTCATCCCCGTTTTTTTATGGGGTTCATGTCTTTCGTTAAGAGCTGCTATCCGAAATAGTCATTCAGTCCGGTGGTACTGGCACAACATGCACAATTTATAACTTTATACATTTATTAAATTCTCAGCTGATAAATTTTGAAATTAAAAAAAAAACAATGGTTCCAACTTTCCCAGACAAACATGACCTTTGATTGATTAGCCATTTCGTTTAAGAACTGTTTTGACCAATTAGCTCCTATTATAGTGTGTTTACGTCCTTGTTTTTCAAATTTTAGGTATGAGCTTTCCTGATGAAGCTTAATCCAGAAAAGGTTTCGGAGGCTGGAATATTAATGTTGATACACAGGAACGATTTCCCTGGATTATCACTTCATCTGTGATATTAAATGGTACACAATAGACAGGCGCTGATTGAATGTTGCGTCACCTAACACTGAATAATACATATTTAAAACCGTTGAAAAAATCCAGACAAGCGCTTCGAACATGCCAATTTATACTGTGTTACTTCGTTTCATATAATGGACTTTAAACCATATTGAGTCATGTTTTCCTACGTAGTGTATTGCAATAAACGCTGAAAGTATGCCTGATCAAATTATATGGATATGAACAGCAAAAAAATATACATAACTGGCATAATGTGAGCATACCAACAATGAGTAGTCAAAATATAATGTATTAAAACATAAATACTACTGTTGAATAAAACGGGTTATTTTTTTATAGTAGAATAGCGTAGATTTTGGAAGGATTAAGATGTGAGAAATTGTGAAATTATCTGCTATATAAACCAAAACATAAAATCATTTCTTATCTCATTTCCATACTCGTCTTATTAATTCTGTTTTTCATATTACATATAGTTTAAATACTGTAAGTCTGAAAGTAAGATCTCTATCAAATTGTGAAGTCCCATGTGACAGGACTTAATCTGTCTCGCTAGCTGTTTGAATCTGTTTTCAATTTCCTCTTTGGACATAAAAGTCGTAGTAAATAAACGACAATGATATATAATTTAACACCAATTTACCAATCTTAAAATAATGGAAAAATACGGATATTTTTTTGGCTATTCAGTAACAATTTCTTGAAACAACTTAATTATTCATAAAATAGCATTTATTTACAAAATAAGTTTCCTTTAGATACATGTATCAATATTTATATTTTTAAACACTGTCTTTCATATTCAATTTAAAGACGTTATACTCTCGTATAAGCGACAAATAAAAAAATAAAAATAAAAACAACAACAAGACAACGAAGAACCAAAACGCACGTTTTCATAAAATTGTTCTTTACGCATTTGTCGATATGAGAAAAGTATTTTTTGAAGTAAGGCTCTTTCCATGCCGTATCAATGTACCGATTTCGGCATTTTCAAGGTATTCGAAATAATATATCGGCACTTGTTTATTAAGAGTACAGCATTATCAATAACATTAACATAATTAAGAATTAAGACGTTTGTATTTTGTCGCTTTTAAGGCGCACATCAAAACCCGATTTTACTTTTCATTTTAATATGACACATGCTGATCTTGTATTACACTATGAAAAACTAAAGTACATTTTCATACAAAATCTAAACGATCATAGTGTTATATGATTAAGTAAATGATAAGGAGTGTTTTTTTTTTATATCTCTCGCAAAAATGCATTAGATTTAATTCAATTGAGATACAATTTTATTCAGATCTGTTTAATTCTGTGCAGACTTTCCTTTCATTTGATTGAACCAAACAATAACAATAAGTAGGCATACCGACTGAACATATTTAAATATAATTGAGTTGCCGCTAGACAAAAATGTGTTAACAATTATTGTCCTTTCAATGTCTTTTCAAAGACGATAAAATTGACATGTTTTAGCAATAATAATAAGGAATGTTTTTTTCACGTCAATTGGCGAACTTAATGCATATTCAGAACGAGAACAAGTACAGGCGAAATACATATCAATCTTTCTTTGTACTAGACCAACATAGCTGGAGTTTTGATGTGCCAGTTCACAAGGCAACGGTCTACAGGAAGACATGTCACCCTACCCGGACACATTACTACACTAGTAACGGGTTTCTCTACTGAAACGGTCATTTTAAACTGAACAACACTGAAATCCCTGAATTTACCACAAAGAAAAATGTCAAGATGTATTTCAATTGTTCAGTACATGTTCATTACACTAACTATCGCGAACGATTAAGTACCAGTCAATACTGGTTCAGATAATTAAGAAAAAACGCTTAGCGTTCAATCCGGTACTGTTGAGTACATTTTAGTACACGTCAGTTCATCGATAGAATCGTTGTCCAGTACTTTTCAGTGTATCAAAATAATATGAGGATTGCTTCCCTTTAATTAGCAGAGAAATCGAAAAAAAAAGCAAAAAAAAAAAAAAATAATGAATAACAATAAATA